CGAAAAAAAAAGAGATTATTCGCGCTGCGGCGACGGTTAAATCCGCCGTGGTGACGTGCATTCCAGGATTAACCCTTTGCCCTTCGGACTATTTCGAGCCGACGCTGCGGCAGGTGCATAATAATTCGGTAACGCGCGTCGGGCTTCCGTAACACACTTTGCCGCACGTAATGCTCGCGTTACGTAATCGCGGAAGAGCGTTAATCGGAGTCGATACTCCAGCGGAGCGTGGTTACGCGATTTACGCGTCGCGTCAAACACGCAGAGGATGGCGTCTCTCCTCGTCGTTTTCTTCTTCTCCCTCGCGGCGTGATTCGCGCTGCGACGAGCAAAAGCACGAGAAAGAGAGAGAGGGAGAAACAGAGAGAAAAAAGAGAGAGAGAAGGAAAAGAAACGAGATTTCCTCGCGACGGAACTCGATCGCGGAGCTAACGAACGCATTTCTCGCGCGACGCGTCTAATTGCTCGCCTCGCGCGCTTCGCTAGAGAACGAGCTTGCCGCTCGCCGAAGGACGCGGCAAACGATCCGTTGCGCCATCGCCGAGCTAACGAAATTACTCGATGTGTCACCTGACGGAAGTATCGTGGCTGCGAATCCGAGAGGCTGATTTCACTAATATCGTTCGACGCCGTTAAAACTGTGCTCGTTTCCCCTCTCTGTCCACCGCGTCTTCCCCGACTGCAGTTGCACTCTGCAGATTGCAGTTCCAGGAAGTCGCGCGCAAAGCACCTCCCGGCACAGAACGTGGTGAATCGAAACTCGCTCGGCCCGCGAATCGCAAAACACCATATATCATTATTTGTGTCATTCGCATCGTTATTCGTAAAGCATCCTTTAACGCTACAGCTATCATACAATCAAATATGATTGCATTTTATATTTTCAATCGACGTTGAAACTAAATAAACATTTTTCTCCTTTGCATAACATGTTTTTTTCAAAAACCTGTCATTTTAACTGCTCTAGTTCACAGAGAAAAATAGTATTTTACTGCTTTAAAAAAGCGGTTATTCGATTTACTTTCCATCTTTTAGATAATAGTTATCTCCTACAAAGAGTATTTTCTTGATAATAATCTTAAAATATACTTATCACAAATTGTAGAAAAGCTCATTTTATCATGTACTTAAAAGAAGAATTTATTCTTCGAGAAAGAAGAATTTATTCGTTAGAGTAGTTTAGTGTTAAAGATTTGCTTCTATTACAGCGGTCAATAGGTTTTTGAAAAAAAATATAGTGCAAAGAAAAAATGTTTACTTATACTTTTTAATTTATTTTACTAGAAATTTATCCCATGGTTGTAATCCGATTGATCCCAATCAGTTGTTTAGTTTGTACAAAATGATGTCAAGTCCCACACACACACACACACACACAACTATGGATAATTTTTATTATTAATAAGGTGATCTTTCTGATTGCTGCGTTATATAACTTATTAGAACTGGATAAAATCACCGTATACAAGGTAAATAACTGATTGGAATAAATTTAGTCAAAACATATTGAAGATATAAAATGCACTATAAAAGAGGAGGATCCCTAAGGCCGGTTTTTGACATCTTCTGAAATTAAACCAAAAATATCAGAAACGTTATATTTTTGTAAGATCTATTGAAATTAAGTGATTTTAGTCTAAACGGACATATTTTGGTGTCTGTTTATACTATAATTCTAATTAATCCCATTTTTACAACGCTCTTACAACTATTTTCCAGATAGTATATATTTCAATGAATCTCAACATGACATTATGGCACGATAAATAACCCATAAAAAAATGATCCTATAGAGAGCAGTATGAAAAAAAAAAACATATTGCCAAATAGTGTTTTCGCAGTAGCGAGTGCGCGCGCACACACGCGCACGTACATAAAAATGTAAGGAGATGATATGTAGGTGATATAAGAGCGTTGGTGATAAAAATGGGATTAATTAGAATTATAGTATAAGCAGACACCAACATATGTCCGTTTAAAATAAAATCACTTTATTTCAATAGTTCTTACAATAATTCTTACAACAATATAATTTCTGATATTTTTGGATCAATTTCAGAGAGTGCCAAAAACCGGCCTTAGGGACTCTCCTCCTTTGAGTAATTTTTACAAAAATTTTGCAAACCCATCATTTTAACTGCTTTGATAGTTCTAATGTTGAAAAGAGGTCTCACCGACTCGGAATCGCGCTAAATTCACCGAAATTATTTCGTACTTTTGGTCGATACTAGATTTACAACGATCGACAAGTGTACGATTCAGAAGACAACGAAGAAATGGATAAACAGATTGAAGTCAAACGATGACGAGTCAATCGAAAGACCCGAAGTGCCTGAAGCACGCGAAGGACAAGAGAGAGAAAGAAAAATCATGTCCCAGTTCTCTTTTTCCAGGAAACACACACACACACGAGTATTTTTCGTTCAGGTGTGGATACTACCGTATGAATGCGTAATGAAACGTATGAGTATGCACGCGCTGCGAGGGAAATGCAAACGTACATATTTCACTCGTGGTGCGTGCGCGCTCGTTCGTTTCTTCGCGTCTTCATATAGTAATGCACACGAGCGACAAATGCTCGTTTGTTTTACGGGTGAGATGCGATATTGCTTTCGCTTCTCATTCTCTCTCTGCCTCCCTTCCCCCTCCCCCCCCTCTCTCTCTCTCTCTCTCTCTCTCTCTCTCTCTCTCTCTCTCTCTCACCTTATCTTTTAAATATTTCACATTCAACAACACTAAGGTAGGCTATACTCTCAGTGCCATTATCTGTGCCACAATTGCGATAACAATATTGTTGTACGTCCCTATTGCGATTTTTCATTTCGCTTTCTCTCTCTCTCTCTCTCTCTCTCTCTCTCTCTCTCTCTCTCTTTCTTTCTGCGTGTCACTTTGTTTCTTAATCGAATCTGCAGTCGCCGTGATTTCACTTCCGTCGTTCCGAGTCGTCAATATATTACACACACGCGTGCGTAAAAATATAACTTGTCATGAAACGTCAGCTCTTATACATCCTATATATAATCGGTGTAGGTCACGCGCCGTATGCTGTTTACGTCAACAAAAAGAAGATACTACGGAGGCGAGTGTGTCGATGCGTTTACTACCAGCGCCTCTGCTCTGTCCGAGGTACCCGACGTGTTTTTTTACAATAGCACAGCAATCCGCGCGTTTTACCGGCATAAAGCGAAGAATTTCAAGTGGCGCGGTAAATTCCAATGGTGGGAAGAGGCGCGACGCGTTCACTCAATGAGACGAACGGAACTTCCAACTCGCGCCTTCCGATCTCAAAAGGCACGTCGAAATTTGTCGCGCGAGCTTACAGCGGTCCTCGTACTTGCCTCGCCAATCAATCGCCCCGAGGATTCCATTTCACGAGAGATCATGACACATTTCCCTTTTACAACTCGAAATATCGAAGTCATTGTTGCCTCTTTCTCACGATGCTGATTGAATATCTCGTTGTCGCGTCGCGAATTGCTTCATAGACGAGACTGTGCTTCACAGCAATTGACAGTTCGCGGTTAAGTGATTCGCTAAGGCTACATGCTTTGACAGTTTGTAACGTAAAGATGTTAATATTCAGTAGTGACAGTTTAATTGTTTTATGCAATTTATGAGACAAGTTTCTTGTCAATTTGTCTAAGCGAGAAAAATACCGTTATTATGAGGAAAAGAACGTTTGAACCGTACTGAAACCAAAGTTGCATATGCAAACCAATACATAATTATTGAAATTGCATAAAATCTGAAAATGAATACGTACGCCAACTCTTGTGGCAAAGTCTTATCTAAGATATCTGTGTGTGTGTGTGTGTGTGTGTGTGTGTGTGTGTGAGAGAGAGAGAGAGACAGACAAAAACATAATAAAATCACATGTAATGACTTCTAAAGCGCCTATCAATAGTCGTTATTTGAAACTTCCCTCAAATTAGATACTCAGATTTGAGTTCAGAGTTAGATGAGAACTTCTAAATTGAATTGCGATTACAGATTTAATAGCATACGTATCATGTAATTCAACTGAAAAACATGGATCTAATGCTGAATGAAAATCTGAATATTTTACATGAGACAAACTCCAAATAACGATTATTAATACGGGGGAACCTAAGAGCTTACACAAACATATTAGTGTAACGTAATCAAGTAAGCAAGAAAACTTGATATTACATTTCTAACAATCAAGAAATCTCTAAATTTATTTATTTTACGTTTCCGTCCGGATTCTCTTTATTGGTAAATAAAAGCAATATAAATTTTAATGTAAAGTGTAAATCATTTAATGAAAGTCAATTATGAGAAATATCTATCGTGCTAAAAACAAGCTTATTTTCTATTTCCTAACAGAAATATATAATGTAAGATATAATCAAGTTAACGTGGTCGAATTAATAAGTTAGCTTGATCTTGGTTACACTTCCCGTTCAAGAGCGAAACAAATATATACAACCTAGTGTTAGTGAGTAAAAAAAGAAAAGAAGTTCCAATGCGTCGTTAGTCGAGCGAAAAAGAACAGACCTAATAAGTAGCACCGTCTCATTTCCGGCGTCTCGAGCGAGACGCGCGTCGAAAGTGCAACGACGTGGCGGTGATGTACACACATAAAGCGCGTCGTTACGAAAAAGCACCGCCATACTATACACTTAAATCGCCATTACGAAAACTGACTGGCGATCTCGCTATGCACTGACGGAACATTGTGTCACTCGTCGGCAATTAGCGCGCGCGCGCGCGCACCTCGACTTAAGATCTGCGAAAACACTGACGTGTACACAGTGTAGGTTTCTTAGATAGCCGCGCTTACCGAACTGCTCGTAATCATCCCACTTCCTTTTCTTCTCCACCAAAAGTCAGATACGCGTCTACCTTTTGATTTTGAGTGCATACAGAGTATTTTGAGTGCATACAGTGCGACTTAGCGCAGCTACAGAAGAACGGACCTAATATGTTGGCCCCGTCAGCGCGAATGAGAGCATTAAGAAACAATCGCATGAACTCACCGGTTGAACTCCTTGAGCGGCGCTCCAAAGTCGGGCTCGTCCCACTCCTTGCTTCCGTGCGAGGTCGTCGGGCCGTTTACTGCCGCCGCAAGCAACACACAAACGCGCCGTGTCACCTTCCGCGATTTCACGAGAGCTCCATCCGGTCCGGGGAGGCACTGTCTCACAGCATAGGATGATGATACTCTCCCGACGTCGCGTCAATCAATCGGTCGGTCGGTCGGCCGGCCGGCCTGCCGTAAAAAACCAGCACGACAAAGCGTGTCGCGTCGGGTGTCTCGCGTTTCTTTCGCGTCGTCTGATTGCACGAATTCACGATGGCCGGCGCGCGGCCGAGTCCCTTCTTCCTATTCGCGGATGCCGCCGTTCGCGTGCAACTTCACGCTCCTCCGCGCGACTGTTACGCTCGCCCGCGCGCGCCCGACTGCGGGAGTACGCCTCACTTCGCGGCACTCTTGATATCCGACGTTATGTGCCTCGGGAAGATGGTGTCTCTCATGGGACCGTATTTCTCGCGTCGTCGTTCGCAATTCGCCACAAGGATCGTCGTAGGGCGAATGTCGCAGGGCCACGTCGTAGGCTGTCGCGTCACTAAGACGGAAAGCCTCCAAAGAGACCGCCTTCGGTTCTCTCTCTCGTGTACTTATCGATGAGTGACACTGAGATTCCGCGAGCCCGAGCTAATGAGAATCGTCGGCGACGTGCACGAGCTCGTCTCGCACCGTCTTCGCGATACCTCCTTTTTCTCTAGCTATCTATCTCTCTCTCTCTCCCCCTCGTTCCCTCTTCCGCAGTTTTGTTCGGTACTCCCGCACTGCGCGTTCGCGCTGACACTTCAACGAGCGCAAACACGAAGGAACCGATGAATCACTCGATCGTCTCGAACAATCTGTCTTCGCGTCGGATTCTCTCCCGCGCACTTATTACTGCTTTCCCGACGCACCGCAGCAAACGATATATATGTACGTGTATATATATATATATATATAATCACACCGCAATCACATTCACCGTCCTACCGGGAGCAAGCTTTTCCTTCCCTCCGTAAATCGCGCGATCCGTTCGACGCTCAGTTCGTCTTCGCGCACGCGTTTGTCCGCCCCGAAAAAACCGCAAGAGACCGTGCACGGTAACACGGCTCGCGTTCTCGACACGTCTCGCTCGACACGTCCGTACGTCGCGGGCGCCGATGGCGGAATAAACCGGTGGCGCCGCGAGCGACGACACGAGCGCCCCCTCGAGAAGCAAGCGGCCGCCCACGGCCGCGCGGAGAGGCGCGCACGCACGTCACGTACACAAAGCCGCGATCGAGCGCGCGCGGCCGCCCTTTTCACACCGAAATACCGCGGAATAATACACGCGCTCACACAATCGTCGGGGGACGGCGAATGCGCGCACACGCACGCGCAAGCATACACACGCACACACATGTGCGCCGAAAAGCCGCGCGTACGGGTAGGATCGCCGCGTACGACAGCTACACTCCGCCGAATCTATAATGGATATTCGCACCGACGGACCACCTGGCTCGTCTCTCCCCCTTACTGCACCATCTAACGGGTGTCCACTAGCGGGACGTACACTCGCGGCCGGATAGGTCGTCCACTATTTTTTGTGCGAGTATCGTGACGCATCGTCTTGTCCAACGAGAGAATTTGTTTTTCAATGGAAACTTTCTCTCCCATAGGGACGCAAGTCCGAAACGCATTCGAGAAAGTGAGACACCCTGTCTACCATACTCACACCGAAATAATACTGTGGCGTCGCGTTGCGCCTCCCTGACGTCATCGTCGTCGTCGTTGTCGCGTCGCGTCGCGTCGCGTCGACGTTACACCGAGCGTAAGCGAAGGGTAGGTAGGTAGGCAGGCAGGCTGGCTGGCTGGTAGACAAAGAGAGGTGGTATACTGGTGCTGTGTCGTTGCCACGACGTTTGGCAAAAGTTTGCCGTGGGGTAATATTCTGATCGGTTTCGACGTAACTCGCCCGCGGTCGCGTCGCGTCGCGACGAGTCCCGCGCTCCCGATCGCGGAAATGGAGTACGCTCGGAAAAAAATTGGTTCGCCGAAGCGCGCGTTGAGTTATTTACGATTCGCATTGAAACGCCGTGGTGTATATATCTGCGCGTGTATCTGTGCGCGTGTATGTGAGCACCGGCGTGCTCGCGCGCACGCATCAAATGAAATGGACTCATATTAAAGGTGGAAACTGTTTTTTTTGTTTAAATGTTAGAGAGACAAACACCGGCGAGCGCGGACGTTGCAGTTGCGATCTTGATTAATTTAGTGTTCTGTATTTACCTGGCGGAGGTATCTCGCATCGAGTAGTCGAAGGAAGCACAGGCGTGGATATCACGTAATTTCGTATAAATATCTGGCGTATACACGCGGACACAACCAATTAAACGGCCGATACTAATTCTCGCAGATCGTCGGCGCTTCAAATTTGAATGTCGTGAATTGCGATGTGGGTCTACAAATAACGAGCCATATGTTATGATCTCATGAATTAATATCGTTCGTCGATCCTCCTTCTCCCTCTCTCTTTCTCCTCCCCCCTCCCTCCCACAATCTCCTTCTTTCTCTCTCTTTCCTTCGTGCGTATTGTATTGACGTTTGATTATGTTGTTACACTTCGTACTAACCAGTGACAAGTTCGATTTTGCCGGCGCCTACTATAAGCTAAACCAGAGGATTGAGGTCGCGAACTTTCCGCGCAGCCACGATTGATTGCGGCGACGTGTCACATTCGTATGTACAGAAATTTTTAAGTGGTCGCGCTGTATGTAACGGGCCTTATTATAACCTGCTGGGACTAATAAACCACTAAGAACCCTTATCGTTTCCTCGTTAACAGCTATTTCCGGGCAGAATAAAGAAAAAAAGTAGAGAGGAGCGAAAGGAGAGGAGAGGAGAAGAGAGACGAGATGAGACGAGACTCTTCTCCTCGACGACGGTGTTTCGGTGACCCGTAAAGTAAGCGGACTATTTCTATGAGCGCGGATAGCCGCGATAAGGTCGATACAGCTACCTCGTTACTTTCCCGTGGTAATCGTAATAAAACCACCGCCGTCGGCGAACTCTGCTCCCTGTAACTACGTTAATTGGCCTACGAATAGCTCGCGCGGGCCGCATGACCCGACCACCTAACGGGTGTCTCCTTTACGTAGGGTGCGCACGCGCGCGATGCTTACGCTGAACGGTGCGCGCTCTCCTCGTGATAGATTCTCGTTAAATATTTATCGCTATTAATTAGGCGGGCGCACTTGCACGCGGGATACAGGCAACCAGCCGAAAGCGCACTCGGGATACATTCTATGCACAAGCTGCAAACTTCCCTCTCTTCCTTATGCACGAAGTAGACGCAGTGCATTCCGCTTCTTGCGGAGCGATCGGTACGTGTGAACTCCCATTGCAAAAGTCTTTTATTGCGCCACGATAGCATTGTACTTCTTGCGTCTTCTGTTCTATTATTCACGCGTACATCTAAATATTGCGCCGTTCCGGCATAATCGCGCTTACTCTTTTCTTTTCCTAACATACTGAAATAGATAAATATACGTCAATTTGACAGCCACTTCATCAATTGATTTGTAAAGATTACATATTCTGTAAATGATTTATACAGTGAGAACAGAATGTTTGATATTTGTAACTATGATCACACATAGAGAAATAATTATAAGGTGTAATAAATTAATAAGTGTAATCAATGTATAATTAGATGTATAAATGTATAAATATATAAATTTGTTTAAATGTAAAAATAAAAAAAATAAATAAAATAAATATATAAATTAAAGATTTATTAAAAATAAAGAAAAGTGAAAAAAAGAAAGTAAAACAGATTTTTCAATCAAAATATTCGCCGTTGCTTTCTATAACTTTAAGTCATCTTTCGAACAGCTTATGGATTCCACTTCGAAAAAATGCTGTGTCTTTGGACACGATAAAGTTGTCAAAGTATTTGGGGATTTTATCCACTGATTGGGAATGCGTATCGGACAAGATGCGTTGCATCGACCGGTATAAATGGTAATCGTAAGGGGCTACGTCTAATGAATATGCCGGATGCTGCAAGATGTCCCAAGGAGATGTGCCAAGATTCATTATATAGTGTCTTTTGTCTTAAAAGTAACGTGTGGCCTGGCGTTGTCATGCAGCAATTTCACAGGACGTTCTCTTTTGCCAGTATACGGGCGTTTTCTTTCCAATCCCTGACTCAAGCGGATTAATTGGCGTTGGTAGCAGTCCGCAGTAACTGTTTCACCCGCTAACAGCTAACAGCTCATAATGAATCTGCCCACCAAATGCAGAATAGAATCTTTTTTCCGGACCGTTTGGACTTTGCGATAGATATTGACGATTTATCGGGATTTACTCATGATTTTCTGCGTTTCGGATTGTCATAGAGTATCCATTTTTTATCACATGTAATGATTTTTCACAAGAAAGATTTTCTACACTGCTTGTTGAGAAGAGAAAACACGCTGCCATTCGCTGATTTTTGTTGACTTCAATGAGTTTATACGGAACCTTTCCATTTTCCTTCTTTATGCATCTTTCCCATCTCGTTTAAGCGATCGAAAATGTTTTACTGCATTATTACTAATTCTGCAAACACTTTTTTGTTTGTGTCGAATTCTCAACGAGCAATTGTTCTAAATAATTATTGTCACACTTCTATAGGTCTCCAGAGCGTTGTTTACCAATCAGACTAAAATCACTGCATTTAATCCATTTAAATCAAAATGCGAGCACATCGTACAATATAATACCTTCGCTGAAAAATGAGCAAATTGATTTGTATTCTTTTACAGCATTTTTTCCTTATTAGAATTCGTAAAGAATGCAGTATTGAATGTACACCTTATCTGTTGTTATTTTTTAACTGAATACATTTTACATTGATAATCATAAAAGCCTATTCCTGGATAGACAATTATACGTAAGTTTAGTAGCAATTTTACTAGTTTATTTGTAAAAGTTGTATCCCTTCTAAGTGGTCCATCTGACACTTATCACATAAAATGACAAAATAGAAATATGAAAGAAGCACAATATTAATTATCAAAATTTGATCTCTCTCAAAACACAACATATCATGTAAAATATAACCTGAAAATCTGAGTACAACTGTTAGTAAATTTGATGTTGCATCAGTATAATTAGAAATTTACATTATTAAATTTGTATGATGTAAATTTAACGATTAATTCAATATTATATTTGTTTCATAAATATATAATTATAACAATTGTAAAGTTTCCATGGCTGATTGTCTCACGTTATGATAATTATGATAATTTGTTTGAGTGAAGAAGTACAATTATATTAAATATAAAAGCTCTGAATAAGCTGATGTACATAAACTTTACAATTTCAAATATATTAACCACTTCGCTGGCATTGACGCACTAATGTGCACATTATTTAATTTTTTTTCCGTTAGCAAGATTTTTATCAAACTCCCAGTACCCAGGGATTTTTGGAGTCGCTGATGTCAAATCTGAACTCTAAATTTGAAAATTCAAAATGGCGGATTCAATATAGCGGGTCAAAATACGAAAAGACTTGATTTTTATGAAATCTGGTATTCGAGAGTTTTTGGGGTCGCTACTTTCAAATCTGAAATTAGTTTTGTCAAATTTAAGGTGACGGATCCAATATGGTGGACCAAATGGAAAAGTGATTTGATTTGGATGAAACTCGGTACTCGGGGGTTTTTGGGGGTTTTGGGGTTTTTGGGGTCACTGATTTCGAATTTTAGTTCAAAATTTCGAAATTCAAGATGATGGATTCAATATGGCGGACTAAAATGCGAAAAATAACTTGATTTAGATGAAACTCGATATTTGGGGGTTTTTAGGGTCGCTGATTTCGAATCTGAGATTAGTTTTGTAAATATTTCGCTGGCAAAGGAAATTAGCATCAACTGACCCAAAAATGGCAAAATAAAAATTCTGTTTGATTTTTATAAAAGTCAATATTAAAGTACTTTTCGAGTCACTGAATTATGAATTTGAGATCAAAATTTGAAAGTTTAAATTAACGGATCTAATGTGGCGACTAGATGTCCTTCTTTATCTAATTGACTAAACAATCTGAATGGATTTCACAGACTGACTTTTATCACCCTGATTCTATAGATTTTATAAACTATCTTGTTGTGCTATTTGATTGAACAAACTACGTT